CCTCTCTGGTTTAAAAAAAAAAAATGATGTGGTAGAGGTAGTTAGTAGGAAGGGTGCTGTGTTATGCTTGAGCATTGTGGGGAATTGTGGAAGCCACCCAAACTGTGAATTTGCCTTTGGGCTCCTGCATGATTTCAGAGGCAGCTGGGGACGGAGCTAATGCACTGCTAGGTTTGCAGCAAAACCTTGCTTTCAGGGAGGTTCCTCGGGGAGGTTCCTCGGGGAGGTTCCGGGAGCATACAGGACCATATATTGTGCGCAGACGGGCAGCCTCCCGCTCTGCCCCCTCGTGACGGTGGAAGGTAGTAGCAGTAAATAACCGGTCGCCTTGGAAACCCTACCCTCCGGACTCAGTCCAAACTCAGGCCCATTCTGGATAGAATGAGCAAGATGGATTTTGAGAAGTCGATTTTTTAATAAGATCTATGTGGTGTTCCTTAATGAGGCATGGTTTTGTCAGGAAAAAAATGCTAATGGACCGTGAGAAGATCAATACCCTAAAGCATCCTTCTGGAACCTGCAGCTGCCTTACAGCATACTCAGGAAAGGTTTTTGGTAGTATAAAAGCAGAGCCCGAGGAGAAAGCAGCAAGGAAAACGATGGAGAGTAGCCAAAGGCCCGAGGAGTGAGGTGTTGGCCAGGAGACGAAAGCATGCTAATGGAAGGTGTGATCTAGAAGGGACTGGCGCCCTACGTAAAGGGTGAAGCCCAAAGAAGGAAGGGGAAGGAGGATCCAAGAGAAGGGGGAGGATGAGATAAAGCAGGAGGTTTGGAACAGGAGGCTCACCAGGGCAGTAGACTCCACACAGCTGCTGTGTCATAGAGAAAACTGATAAATGAGAATTCAAGATGAAAACACCTTGAGAATCCCCAGCAGAGCCCATAGTCGCCCACACCTCTGAGAACCTACAGGCCAAGAAGGGAAGGGAGAAGGGGGCACAAGTGTTGGGACACCCACCGTCACCCTTGTGCACATGGCTGATTGAGGTTTATGATTGTGTCACAGGGCACATTTCAAAAAGCCTTTCTGAAAGCTTCCCACAAACCACTCAAACAAAAAATATGAATCCTGGTATTTAACCCCTGATCAGCTGGGGAAATTCTCTTACTTGGAACGGCTCGTTCTCTGATGTTGCCAGATAACTTAAGTGAGGGAAGCAGTGGGCGGAATCTCCCAGAGTTCAGTGTGTTTGCAGGTGTTTTCATGATTTCATGGATTGATTTATTCATTTAGTGATTTAAGGTTGGTTTCGAAATACGGGTACAGGCTGTTTTACAAATAAGGCTAATTAACTCTAAGGGAACACAGAGGTGGCTTTAGTAGGTAATGGCAAACAAAGGTCAGCCAGGAAAGGAAAGGAAATGACCATAGTCAGTGATATTGTCCAGAAACGATATTAAACGTAGCAAGACCGCGCTTGAGTAGAAATCAGGGTGTCCATCAAAGTCAGTGTTCAAGACGAGAAGATCCAGGAATGTCGGATAAGAGAAGACTGTGGTTTCAAGGGAGGCTATATGATAGAGGCTTTTATAAGAATGGAGACCCGAGAAAAGGGATTTGGGAAACAGGTCCTGGGGACTTCATGAGGTTGCACACACTACACACCCAGGACCCCGGTGGCCCTGCATTTGGCCCACCCCCTGGATTAACCACTTGCGGAGAGGCTGCACCTGAACCCTGCAGGTCTGGGGATGGGCTGGATCTTGGTCCTGGGAACAAACGTCAGTGGGTTCTCCCAGCTGATACGTCTTTGATTTGAGATGCTATTTCCTTTGGTGCTTTTCCTCTCCCCACAAGACTTTCACGGGGGGCAAAATTGGTTTTGCTTTTATTTGTCTTTCATTCAATACCAGGGTTTCATTATAACGTATAAACCTTTTCGGAGCACATCTCCCTTATTGTATTTTGTAGCCTAGAGTCTGCGAGATGCCAGGCCGTGTGGGAAATGTCAATAAGAAAATAGAGTCCTATTTGTTTTTGCAATCTGCAGTGCTGTTTGCTTCTCCCATATCGGAGGTTTTCTTTCTTTCTTTCTTTCTTCTCTATTTTATACAGTTTTAGTTGAACATCTTTTTTGGGGCGATGGGGGCTCTTGAAAGACCTGTCCGTGTTCCTAAATAATACTTGGCCCTTTCGTTTTATCTTTTATTTTATTTTTGAAGTTTTATTTATTTAAGAGAAAGAGGGGGGGGAAATGTGAGTGGGGGAGGGGCAGAGGGAGAGTGAGTATTCTCAGGCAGACTCCCTGCTGAGTGTGGAGCCCTATCCTGAGATCATGACTTGAGCCGAAACCAAGAGTCAACACTCAACCAGCTGAGCCACCCAGGCACCCCTTATCTTTTATGTGAAGTGGTACCCCTCCCTGTAACCCTGTAACCCCTAAAGGCAGTGATCCTTAGTTTATTGACCTTAAGTTTTTAGATCTAAGATACTTTTGTCTTATATTTTGTCTCTCTATATTTATGGATTCGGGGTTTTTGGGGACTGTGGAATGAGAGGAAAAACATCTTTCAGTGCATACCTTTCCCCCTCTGCCTCTGTGCTTTTCAGGCTTCAGTTCTTCATGGATGCACTATGTTTTATTTTTTTATTTTATTTTATTTTTTTTAATTTTATTTTTATTTATTTGAGAGAGAATGAGAGACAGAGAGCACGAGAGGGAAGAGGGCAGAGGGAGAAGCAGACCCCCTGCTGAGCAGGGAGCCCGATGCGGGACTCGATCCCAGGACCCCGGGATCATGACCTGAGCCGAAGGCAGTCGCTTAACCAACTGAGCCACCCAGGCGCCCTGCACTATGTTTTAGTTGTAAAAACACAACCCATAGATGGGTTAGTCTGTCCTCCACTCCTAATTTTTAGATACATCTCCAGATCAGTCATGGTCTCTGCAGGAAATAAAGGGCACACCCGAAAGCAGTTTTGAAGAAAATGTGATGAAAGGACTGATTTTGTGCAGAGTTTAGGGAAACCCACAAGGAATGGTCAAGCCCCTGGCGCTGGCCACAGAGGGAGGCCTTCGCCAGCCCAGGCTGAAGGGGCTGTTATTGGAACTGGGAGAGTAGTAGCAGAGGCCTGTGTGGCAGAGGCTGCGTGGCCTTTGGGACTGCGAGGCACAGCCTGACTGGGAAGATGCCAGGGTGCCTCTCACTGGTTGAGCGCAGGTGTAGGGCAAGGGTCCAGGTGAATGCAGGCGCAGAGATCAGCTTCCTACGGTGCAGACCAGGGTGGAAAGAGGATTTGGAGAGGCAAACGGACAATGCTTGGCATAATCTCTTCTTAGAATCGCTTACTAAAATTTTATTTATTTAAAAAAAATTATTTTAAAGATTTATTTATTTGAGAGAGAGTGCTTGCACGTGAGCAGGGGGAGAGGCAGAGGGAGAGGGAGAGAAAGAATCTTCAAGCAGACTCCCTGCTGAGGGCAGAGCCCGACCTGGGCTGGATCCCATGACCCCGAGATCAGGACCTGAGCCGAAATCAAGGTTTGGCCACTCAACCGACTAAGCCACTCAGGCACCTGTTATTTAAAAAAATTTTAAAAAACAACGTGTATCAAATCAGGATATTTTAGTGCATGGACACATCTCCTTCTTTGGAGTCATTGTATTCATGTGTATTCATTACTTTCTTTGTCCTAAGTTTTACCTTAATGTCATAAAGGAATGAGCATCGACAGCAGAGGTATTTCTTTTAAATGACGACAGAAATGGATTAGAACTCTGGAGAGAAGCTTCCTGATGGTTAAGACTATTATGGTTCAGTCAGCCGGACATGTCTATGGGGATATATCTCAGAATATTGTTACCCTTTCAGGGGCAGATACTGATTTGGGAGAAGGTGCAACAGAATTTTCTGGGGTGCTGGGGATGTTCTGTATCTTGATGATGAGCAATGATAAAAATTTGTGAAGTCGTATACTTCTGATTGATCCACATTACTCTCTGTATGTTCTACTGTAATTTAAAAGGAATTTTTAGGGACACCTGGGTGGCGCAGTCGGTTAAGCATCGACTCTTGATTTTGGCTCGGGTCATGATCTCGGGGTGGTGAGATCAAGCCCCGCATCGGGCTCCATGCTCAACGGGGAGTCTGCTTGGGATCCTGCCTCTGCAGAATCCTCTGCCTCCCCACCCCCACACTCACACACACACTCTCTCTCTCTCAAATAAATAAATCAGTCTTTAAAAACAAAACAAAAACAGGAGTTTTTAAAAGTTGCAAAAATTTTTATAATTTCAAGAGACCTGAGTTCCTGCCCTTTCTCTCACTTACTGTGTGACCTCAGACAAGTTATCTAATGTCTCTGTTCCTCAACTTCCTCCTCTGTAACATTGGGGTAGTATAATATTCTCGCTTCCACTGGCTGGCCGATGAACTCACAAGCGTAGGTGGTGTGCTACACGAGGGGCAAGTCTTTTGCTAACACCACAGGGGTCTCTGGCCCAGTGAGTGGAGTTTGATAGTAATTCTTGCTACAAATAATAGTAATAGTAATAATAATAATAATAATATTCTTACCTCTTAATGTGGCTTAGAAGAGCCAACCTTAGTTTGGCCCTTAGCACAGCATCTGGTGTGTGGTAATCACTCAATAAATGTTAGCTATTTATATTCAAATAAATATATTTGTTTCCCCTAAAATAACCTGATTCTGCTGAATCCCAGGTACCATTTTTTTTCCTTTTCCTCTGTTTACTAAAATCCCCAATCCTGCAGGTTCATCCTCTCACACCAGAAGATACCAAACTTGATCAGGCACATGCTCATGGGCTCCCTCCCAAGCCTGCTCTAAGATGAAAGCACAGAGGTAGCTCGTGTGTTCTGTCCTTGTTTACAACGTGCTGGTGGTTTCCTTGCCCAGTAGTCCTCCCAAGGAGATGCCCTCAAGTCTCAGAGCAGAGATACTGCACTTGCAGACCCTCTCATGTAAGGAACCTCGAGATGACCCTATTCCATATGCTCACCAGATGGCATCATTTTGTTCTATGAATCATAACAGGCCTTGGTTAACTGGGACCCAGTGGATCACACGGTGCTTGCCAATGAGCAGGTGGATGAACGTGGCTGTTCATGGCGTTCTGGAGCAAAGGTGGAGCAGAAGTACCTCCGACAGTGGTTTATTAAGACCACTGCTTATGCAAAGGTGAGTATCCGCCTGGTGTCCCCCCACCCCCAATAACGCTGTCTGTGCTGGGAGGCAACACCAAGGTCTTCTGGGTATTGGAGAGCCTCACTCTTGGGAATAAACTCTAGGAAGGGCTGTTGGAGCCGTGGGTGTGCAGACTGGAAGCACACGAGCCTCAGGGTCGCTCATTGCGAGGGAGATGGGTTTGGGTGTTTTAGAGGTAAGTCAGGAATGGCACCTGGGGATCATTTTGGGCCATTGTTTGCTGACCTTTCAATACACTCAATCATTGTGCTGCCATAGAAGCCAAAAAATGTTCAACTTTATTTGCAGTTATATCAGCAATAAAGCTAGAAAGGAAAAAAGTATCTTCATCTGTATAGTACTAGTAAAACCTCCAGAAAGATAATAGGACATTCCAGAGGGTCCAGAGAAGACCATCTAAAAGGAGTGAAGAGGGCCACCTGGGTGGCTCAGTCGGTTAAGTGCCTGCCTTCAGCTCAGGTCATGACCTCAGGGTCCTGGGTCCGAGCCCAGGGCGGGCTCCCTGCTCAGTGGGGCATCTGCTTCTCCCTCTGCCCCTTCACCCCCTGTTCATGCTCTCGCTCTCTGTCTCAAATAAATAAATAAAATCTTTTAAAAAATTAAAAAGGAGTGACGAGATGGTCGTTCTCCATGAAGGAAGACCAGAGTGGAAAGAAACTAAACTAGGAGCCAAAGCTCTGATTTTAACTCTTGTTGTGTCCCTGATTAATAGTGTAAACTGGTATGCATCAGGAGGCTCAGTTTTCTCATCAGTAAAAGGAGTGAGTGGGACCAAGTGGTTTTTAAGGTACCTTCTGGCTCTTTTCTGTGTTCAGGGATTGAAGGCAAAGCCAGCCGTTTAAAGAGGGAGCTCGCTTATTAAATTACCAACAGCCTGAGCAGCAGAATGCATTCTGGGTATGCCAGAACCACTTCTGCAAAATACCCTCTGAGCTTACCCAGTTTCAGGATATGGAATTGAGGGATCACTCCCTGAAACTCCAGAGAGAAATGACTAGAGCCAATCAGGGACACTTCGCTGATCCCCATAGTTTTTCGCTTAAGACTGGACATAGGGGCGCCTGGGTGGCTCAGTCATTAAGCGTCTGCCTTTGGCTCAGGTCATGGTCCCAGGGTCCTGGGATCGAGCCCCGCATCGGGCTCCCTGCTCCCCAGGAAGCCTGCTTCTCCCTCTCCCACTCCCGCTACTTGTGTTCCCTCTCTTGCTGTATCTCTCTCTGTCAAATAAATAAAATCTTTAAAAAAAAAAGACTGGACATAAACAGGATCTGAAAAGGTAAAGACATCTTGAAAGGCCAGTGACTTCGTGCCATGGTAGTTCTCCCCCTGTGGTAGTCACCTTAAGAAGGATAGTTATACCCAGCCGTAGTAGCCCCTGGGGTGCTCTGTCAGAGACGGTAGTGGGCTGAAATAGACTTTGGGTCTGATTCAACACTGTACTTCTTATATGCCAAGAAAGCACAAAGTTATAAATAACCGCTGATCACTACAAAACTTGGCTGAATTAGAACCGCAATACGCCAGCTCACAATACCAGTGCCATGTGGATATATGACCTCCAGTTTTCTCACTCTAAAGACAGATCTTCAATGAGGCAGTTTTCCCATGATAACTTCTTCAAAGTGTAGCAGAGAAGAGTATATGGATTTGGAAAACTACCCATTAGAACTTGTTAACACAATGCCTTGCTCCTTTGAAGCACACGGTAATATCGAGAGACTGAGAAAAACAAAGCTGAAGACATTGTTTCTGTAACATCCCAGCCAGTGGGAGCCCCTGTTTGCTGACAGTTGGGGTCCACTGCATTACTGGGAGGGAAGCCAGGTCACCTCCAGATGACTCTGCAATAGGCATTGTGGGAAAGGCCATCTCATTAGCTCTTTCTTTTTTGACCTCTGCCTCCAGTTGGAAATGTTATAACCTAACTGAGGGACATTATTCTTTAAATTGTCAGCTGTGAATTTTCAACTGTTTAGCAGAAATTGTTAGTTACCATGGTGATTCACCTGGTTTTTGCTGAACTCCTGTGCGGATTTATTGAAAAAAGCTGTCTTTGGAGGTCAGCACTTGGTTTGCCCTGAAAATCAAGAGAAGAGGGAGTGGTGTGGGAGTGGTAGGGGCAAGCAGAAATCTATGTTCACTGCAGGTCCTCGGCTGAGGGCTTCCCATGCACAAAAGCAAGACTCCAGAAGGCCTATCAGAAAATGATAGCAAAGAGACTGAGAGGAGATCAGATACCAGAGGACTGCACAGTGCTCGGAGATCTTGGAGTTATGGCCCAGCCAGAAGTACGCAGTTGAGACCCCCAAAAGGCCATATGTTAGAAGTATAGATGACACCTTAAGACCAAAGACAAAATCAGAACAGACTCAACTTAATAAAAAATAAAAGTAAACCTGATGGTTTCGAAAGGAACTTTCAGAACAAAACTCAGCACCTTTAAAGGGAGACAACATAATCCAGACTCTCTTCATGGCTGGTTTTTATTTGCATGCCCCACATAGAATAAAAAAGTACTAGACTTGCGAAAAATCAGGAACTTGTGGCCTGTAATCAAGAGAAAAAAAGGGAGAGGGCGCAGCCCAGTAGAAATAGGTCCTGAGATGACCCAGATGTTAGAATTAGGAGATAAAGCCAGAGACATCTGTTATATAAATGGTCTGGGACTTAAAGGAAAAAATGGTCATGATGAGTGAACAGATGGTGAATCTCAGAAGAGAAATGGAAACTATTTAAAAAAAAAAAAGAACTGGAAATCTAAAACAGAAAAGTACAATATCTGAAATAGAAAATCACTGTTTGGGTTGCAAAGGGATGTAAGGGTTAAGTAAGGCCATAAAGTTGGAGAGGAGCTCCTTCATATAGGGACTATCGTGTGTGGTTGCCCCAAAATAGAAATGTATATGATGATTCTGAGAAGCTGAAAGAATGACAGTATAACTGAAACAGAGAGCCAAGAGGAGAGATTTCGTAGGGCTGGAGAAGCCTGGGGTTAGGGGCCAGATCAGGCAAGGCCTTTTAGGTCTTAAGGATTTGGACTTTATCATGGAGGACATGGGTAACCATGGAAGGACTCCAAGAAAGGAAAAGACACGGTCAGATTTGTGTTTTTATAGATTCGCTGTGGAAAGAGCAAATGTGGATGCAAAGAGACCAGTTACGAGGCTATTACAGTAGTCTGGGCGTGCATAACTTAGACTAGGTGGGAGTAGTGAGGAGAGATGGGCAGGTTAGGAAAATACTCAGGTGGTGAAATTTGTAGCACTTGAGACTCTATTGGATGAGAGTGTGTAGGATATGGTGTCATCAAGAAGGACCCTGACTTGGACACTAAGTGGATGAATACGCTACTGACTGCCATAGGGAGTCCTGGAAGGGACATATTCCTGACCCTCTTGAGTATGCAGTGGCCCTGAGACTGTTGAGTAGAGATGTGCAAATAATAGGTGCTTGGATAAATGGGTTTGAAGCTTCAAAGATCAAATGAGATAAGGCATCTACCTTAAAACCTGGTATAGTGTTCAATCAGGGAGGAGGTCCTGCCATAGAGAGAAGGATGAGTTAGTAGTGCTTTCAGCTGCAAGTAGCTGAAAACCCGAGTTAATGGTGGCTTAAACAAATGGGAGTTGACTTTTCCCACATAAGAAGGCCCAAGTTGCTGGGACTGAACCAGGATCGGGCTCTGAGTTGGTATCTCGGTTGTCTCTCGGCCCTTCCTTCCTGCCTATCACCTCATGGTCGCAAGATGGCTGCTGCAGCGCCAGACATCCCATTTCCATTCAAGACAGAAAGAAGCAGAAGGGGCAGTGCGAGCGACTGTTTCTTTTACCTGGAAAGCAAGAACTTCCCCACAAACCCCCAACAAAGTTCCACTGATGTTCTGTTGGCCCCATTTGTGTCATGTGGCTACTCCCCAGCTTCAAGGGAGACTAGGAAAGCAGGCTTGGGCTTTTTAGCTTCTGTAGTCAAGCTGTTAAGCTGTGTGAGGGAAGAGAGCGGGCAGTGGGTGCTGGGATGGCCAGTGAGCTGTGCCCACGCCAGTCATCTTCAGAGCTTTGTGTCTGTGTCCGGTTTTGCTGCTCTGGAGGCTGCCTCTGATGCATACACCTGACGGTCTGCTGGGGAGCGTGGCTCTGGAGGGGCCCTCCTTTCAGTCACGTACCTTCCAGATGAAGCAAGACGATGCCCGACGTGAACATTACAAGGAACCCTGAAATGCAGAAATCCTTTATTAAGGCTGTTCTGTGATGTTATTGGATGTTTCTCCCCTCACCCCCACCCAGTCTCGCTAGGACTGTTTGCTTTGTGAAATGTGAAGAAAACTTGCAGTAGGAGTATCTGAGGCACATGAATTAGTCTTGGCAGGGATGTGTGGGAGGTATCTGGTGGGCAGCATGACGAGGTGAGAGCAGGGGGAGGAGCGGGGATTGCAGACCTCCGCACAGAAAGCAGAAGAGATTCTGGGTCTGATGGAGCAGATGCCTCAGTTCCTGCCAGCAGGGTGACAGTTGGAAGGCGAGACAAAACAGAGAGCCGGCTTCCCATTTGAACTTTCCTAATAGGTCTGTGGTTTCGATTTCTGCGGCTGCCTCCTGCAGGCCCTCGGCCGCCAGGGCACGGTACATAGGCTCCTCTCTGGCGTTAAGATGGGCATAATCATGCCCTGATGGTGCTTAGTCAGCCGCCACACCAGATTGTTGGGTATATTGTCCCAGTTTTCAGGAATTTCTAGAATATCAAGAAAGTCCATCTCCCCCTCCCATTGCCTACCTGCTTGCCCCTGAGCTGATCAGTGCTCTGGCTTTTACAGACACTGTCTTCTTTAACCCTAGCGTTGCTCCCTTGAGGGCCAGTGTGCCTGTTCGCCCCATTTTACTGACAAGGAAACCGAGGCTCCCACTAGTAGTAAGTAATAGCCCTGGGATTCAAATCCAGGTGCTCGAGCTCGTAACCAGCAGTCTGTACCCTTTCTC